GAGAATTCTGATGCCTTGAGTAGATATGCACATCTAGAGAAGTGGATGTGGGAAGATTGTGTTAATACCCAGTTTTTATGTGCAAGGAAGTATGGAAAGATTAGATGTGAAAAGTTGATCAGTATTTGTAATAATTGCCATGACACGTACTTCTTGGAAGATAACCACTGTCATTGTTGTCATACGACATTCAGTCTAGCAAAGACTTCATGTTTTATGGAGCATGTAGCTCAATGCAAAGACAAATTGGAGGATCTATTTCGGCCTCTTATCTCAGACTCAGCACCTCCTCTTCGAATTAGATTGCTAAGAGCACAGTTAGCTTCGATGGAGGTAACATACTCTTTTCTACTATCAGATCTGGTTGCGCTCTCCCATATTGACTTCTGAACAAACATATTACTTGTGACTTCATCAGTATGCGCTTTTGATTTAACGGAAGGTGATATGCTTTATAGGCCTGCATTCCTCCTGAAGCTCTTGAGCCTGTTTGGTCAGAGGTATATCGAAGATCCTGGGGTTTGAAGTTGCATATTGCTTCAGCAGCTGGTGACCTACTTCAGGTCCTCTATTTGTCGATAATTTCTGTTTTTGACACATAGGACTTGCTGATCATTCTTATCAACTTGAATTGTAACTTACCAAAATATGCAGAGATCTCTTCATCAAAAAAGAGAGAATACTTACAAAGACATAATAATTACTGGGACTCACTGCTTAAGCATCAACAATGAAAAGCACACCCTATGTGACCTTAGTTGTCTTTTCCTTTCTATCGTTGGGTTCTTCTAGCACATTTACCGTATTCTCTAAATCTGAATGCAATGTTGTTAACCACCTTTTCCTGTTTGTATCTCTTAGATTCTGACGTTGTTGGAAGGTGCAATCAAAAGGGAGTATTTAATGTTAGATTATGAAACTACAACTGAGTTGTTGGGTGCTGTTAGCAACTCCAATCTGGACAGGATGGCGGTGTTACCTTGGGTTCCTCACACGACAGCTGCTGTTGCACTAAGGCTTATGGAACTTGATTCCTCCCTCTGTTATACGCAGCAACAGAAAGCTGATTCTCTAAAAGAGAGAGAATCTGCAAATTCCATTGTAAGCATCTCTTTCTGTTGTTCTGACCTAAAAGTTAGCTGCTTATCAGATTTCAGGGATGTTTGCACTTAAATGCATGTGTAATTTTTTATAAGGATTTCATTTCTCGTGCACGCCTCCATCATTTCTCACACTTAAATTTCAACCTAACGCCAGAATACAGTTGATGAAACATTCCCCTCATTTGAATTACATGATAATGTTTCAAAATAACACCAAATGTATCCTAATTATGGTCAATGCTTTACTGGTTTTGGCTTCCAAATTTCTTTTAAAAGGTTTGGCTATGTGGAGGACTTCCCCTCATTTGAATTACATGATAATGTTTCAAAATAACACCAAATGTATCCTAATTATGGTCAATGCTTTACTGGTTTTGGCTTCCAAATTTCTTTTAAAAGGTTTGCTTTAGCATCTGATTCCGCTTTTTAAAGGACCCACTTTGTTTTGGCACTAAATAACAATTTAGGACTCCTAGCTTGCATGCTTCAAATCAATGAGCTGATGGTTCCTTTTCTGCTTTAGAGCATTGCATCTCTTAATTTTTTAAGCTTCTGCCTGTTGATTTCATTTACACGTTGAATCTTTCCCTATATGCCTCAGACGCTTAAAACAAATTATGCTGATATGAAGAGAGTTGCGGGAATTATATCTGCTGAAGCTCCTCTTGAATATGAAAATCTAGAACCAGATTTCTCAGTTAAGGTGGGAGGCAGACATGTTAATTCAGGACAGGGTCGTAATCATGTAAGAGGAGGAGCTCATAGTCGTGTCGGTGGAGGCAGATCTCAGAGGAAACTTAGTGCATCCAAATCTGAATCTGCTCAAAGAACTTCTACAAAGAACAGTGGCAGATTTGACCACCTCCCAGCCTGGCAAAGTCGAGACCGTGGCAAAGCACGACGTAAAAGAGGTCGTCGCTCTGTTCGTAATAGGCAAAAGCCAGTCAAGAACGTTGAAAATGCTGCTATAGAAAAAGTGACCATCCCCATTCAGCAAAAATGGAAAGAAGATGAAGAAACAGCAGCAGCTCAATTTGAGGCACCTGATAATGACAGCGATCCTGGAACATCAGGATCTGAAGATGATAATGGTCAAGCAACTGCTGATGATTATGAAGATTTAATTGCTGATAACTATGGTGTTTTAAGGGATAAAACTGATCATGCATCAAACATTGTTAAATACAGTGTTGGGGAACATTATATTGAACCTGCCGATGGAGATGATGTTGATGATTATGAGGATGACCGTGATGAAGAGGATGAGGAAGAGGGATTGGCTGACGAAAATGTCCAAAGATACTTTGATGCCGAGTCTGAGGAAGAAGGGAATAGATTTATGGATGCAGAACTTGTTGAAAACCCAAATAAAGATTCAGAATCATCATCTGAGTATAGTGATTGAGAATAGTTCATGAACACTACAATAGTCACTAGCTAAGTTAAACCCACAGGCATTTTGGTTTCATTTCTCCTAATGAGCGCGAAAGAGAGGAAGGTCCATGGATAATTCAATGCAGGTCTTCGATCAGCGCTGTTTGTTGGGAGCTACAGGAACGCGCTCGTAAAGTATCCACAATGTTGTTGTGAAAGCATCACTAGTTCTATTCTAACTGTTAATAGTCAGCATGTAACTTGAAAATAGTACAGTAGTTCCTCTTACACCAACATATGTATCACATCGCGTGTAATGTAATGTGGCAATGCCGTCCATATGTTTGTCTCATTTGCAGTTCATTTTCGTTGAAGCTACTGATCTGACCAAATAATATACGATGCTGGGAAGGAGAACTAGGGGGTCAATTTTTTGAACGTGCACGTTCCAAAGTGTGGCCGGGCAGTGAAACTCTCGCTTGAACAATGCTGTTCTTTTCTACATACTATGCCTTTCCAATGTTAAGTATCAATATGACTTTCACTCTGGACCTAAATGTTACCAAAATGCTACCACTGCCAACTGCAGATGCAATTCTGGTTAAACAGATGATGAAATGATATATAAAGGGTGCAAAATGTATGTGTTCTGGTGGATGATGAAATAATCCAGTTAAACCTTTTCATTATTAATTTGAGAAATCATCATAAAGCTACCATCAAGTGCAGTTTGGATCACTGGAGTGCATCTCGGTTGAAAACCAATACTTCAATACCAAAATGGTGGTTGAATTGCTTGCAGCTGGACCAGTGAGTTTGAACTTTGAACTAGTATGGTATGCCTACCTCTTGCAATAAAAACTCAAACTGATGATAAATGATCTTTCCATTCAGACTAGAAATTCTAATCCCGCTTCAAACAAGTGCCAAATCCATCAAGGAAGTAAACTCGGGGACAGTAACAGGACGCATACTAACTAAAGAACAGCATGCATTTTTCAGCACAAACAGGATAAAGCAATTTCAATTGCAGTATCAATGTCATAATAATTCATAAACATTGCACTTAAGTGCAACAAAAACTACACATTCATTCTAGCAGTACCCGAGTGGCAACCTGATCAAGCACAAGAAAGGAAAGCAATCTAGGAACTGAGATTAAATGGCTAGAAGCTAGATTAAGTGAGATAGTGCTGGTCTAAATGTTATGTCTGAGAAGCCAAGGAAAAGCTACTCTTATATATATGGTAAAACAAAAGTAACTTCACAACAAAAATAATACTCCTATCTAAAAAACCAGAAAATGGAGCAAAATATTAAACAGTTTCAGAATTGCAAATGGAACTGATTACAAGTTCAGTACAAGATAGGTTAACAAGGCAAGGATGCCATAGTCATACTATAATGCTACTATAAGTCGATATATAAATGATTAAATCCCTAACAAACTATACTGCATAAGTTTTCAAAATAGTATCACCAGGATTTGAGCTTTATAGCAAGCCAAACACAATGAGACCAGAATATAAGGCTAATCACAAAGACTAGCTGTTGCGAGAATGGCACTCGAATAACAGCTTCGCAACAGCTCCCCATCTCATTGCATGATTATTCTAAAACTCCAGTTTCCTCAGAGGCATCAGCTGTAGCCCCACTGGCACTGCTTGCGTCAAGCAACACTAGACTCTCAACATACTTTGCTCAAGAAGAAGGAATCTTTCCTACCATGGATACCAAGATCCTTAAATTCCTTGCTCTCAGGATCATATGATAGAAGATCTCCAACCCACCTCTCTACCAGAAATTCCTCATTTCCCCTGAACCCAATAGCATGTGAAATCCCACTCTTCAAAACCACAACAAATTTCTCCGTCCAGGACTCCAATTTACCATACTCGTTCATAACCCAAACAACACACGTATCACACGATTCATCAGAATGGCGACCCTTTTCGTGCCAAATCACAGAAATCCGATCCACAGACAAGTCCAAAGGACAAACATGAACTAGATTTCACTTGGTTTCTCATCACTTAGATCAAAAACCAACAGTCTATTTGAAAAATTCCCACCTTCATCCACAGTTACAGGAAACCCCAAGAATAGCCCCATTTAAATAACTAAACACTACTACTATAGAATTCTACAATGGATGTCCTTTGAGTTAACTGTTTCCATAAACCAGTACATACTCAAACTATAGACCTCAACTTCAGGAGGCACATTATAAGCACAATTAGGTCCTTGCAGACATGCTCTACTCTAACCACTACTAAATCATGGGTTGTTGAGTGTGTAGCCGTCGGCTACACATTCAACAAACGATTCTCCCAAAATACAGTTATTAGATGCTTCTCACAACCTCAAAAGAAGGAACTTTATTCTGTTCGATTCGGCAAGTGTGTGACATAAGATCCCCTCAAAACGTAGCCTACTATAGCATACAATAAATACCAACTAAATTTTCACAGAAGCTAAGAGAGAGAGAGAGAGAAGCAGGTAAGGCGCAAATTCTATGAGTCCTTTTACCACAACACCATATTTCTTTACTAGCTATTATTTCAGAACGGACAAGCAAGATGACACTAGTAAATCTGCCATGCAAATTTTTAATCTTATTCGACGAACAAAAATGGCGTTGCTATTGTTGAATGGTACCACTGAACAACACCCTTAAGATACAAAGCAAAATATTTCGCAAAAATCTACTTCGCTAAGGTGGCATCTTTCCTATAAGCCTAAAACCAACACCCCATTCCATAACTTTAAAATGGTTCTATGAAAATATGTACACATCACAACAAACCAGCACTAAGCTTGCATAAAGCTCAAGAACCCAATAGCTCCTTGATCCCAGCTTTCTGGGTCGTAGTCAGACGAACAGGGAACTTGATGTCAAATTTGATTCTCAGATTTCCTTTCTTTGTCGGGTCTTTTGGAAGCGGCATACCTTCGCCCGGGACAACATGTTCATAATTTGGTTGAATAACATTGTTGACGGGAATGGTTAGGTTCCTTCCATCTAGAGTAGTGAGTTGGACTATACAACCAGTCAATGCTTCAACCAGAGAGATCTTTTGTGTGACAATCAAGTCGTTGCCGTCGCGTGAGAAAATTCTATGAGGTTTCTCATCTATTATGAAGACAAGATCAGCTGGTATAACACCAGGCTGCTCGTTCCCTTTTTCTTGGAAGGTGATTTTTGTACCTTTTTTCCAACCAGGTTTAATATTGATTGTTAGAATCTCCTCCACCTGCATTCTCTTGCTGCACAGCAACAAAAGTACACAAAAGAAGTTCAGCAGGCAAATGGATACCCACTAAACACAATATAAATAATCTAACACGTCTGGCAAAAAAAATCTTAAAAAGGCCCGACGGAAAATAATTGAGAACTAGATCCTGATACTACAAATAGCTAGTGTACTCATGAAAATCCATGAACTTGATGACGCATTAAAAATCTCAAGAATTGGAGTTGCTAGACTTGCACTTTTTTCACAAGGAATTACAGAAGCTTCATATTGTACTACTGCTCCATAAGGAGTTTGAAGGTCCCTATTCCACCTATAATGCAAATTCACTACAGGTAGGCTTCATAGGTCAACAACAACAAAAACCCAACTTAATCCCATACGTGGGGTCTGGGGAGGGTAGTGTGTACGCAACCACCCTCGGCTTAAGGAACGGTAAAAAGTAGGCTTCATAGGTCATTTAGGAGAATTTGACAAAATTATGTAAAATTTTCACCTCTTTTTCTTTTTTGTTTTGTTTTTTGAATTATGCAGGATTTAACAAGCTAAATAGTTACAAGATGGTATAACAGACAGTTAATCAGCTTGACCATAAATAGGTAACCGATACAATACGCTATTAACTAGGATTTAGGAAATTTTAGCCCCTTGTGGTAACAAACTGCCAAATGACATAAAAAATTACAGTTTCACCATCCAATATCCTTGGTTATTTCTCAAACAACTTCAAGTTGAAGAAGTGGAAAGGTAAAAGGCACTGCACAACTATTTTATCACTAGTTTCTATCACACAACTATCGTTACCGCAGGCCAATGAAGTACTTGAAGAAAAAATCGCAAAGGGCAGAAGTTATTTTACATTGTAAGTTTAGATTTATAGAAAACCAGATTTAAAAGATTGAGGGATAGCAAGTGCTTCTCAGCAGAAGAGAAACAAAAGAGCTACCTCCGAATCACCTTCCTACGACTCTAGAGCAGAGATCAATATATAAGAAAGAAGGTTCTCTTATTAGGATGATGAGATCAAGAACTCTTCAAAGATAACAAGGTCACATTGCAACGCGATGTGGTTTATTTAGTTTCCAAACATGGATAGCCAGAAACTCCAGGTTACCAAGTCACATCAACCATAAGTTGGTGTATCCTAATGTAAATGGAACTACTAGCAATGATCACTAACCAGATCCCAAATTTAGATGAATAAAATCCAGGCATTTGACAGATATCCTCGTTCAGAGTATTTGCCTAGCAGAGGGCTTTCTATTATACAACAGGATAGTTCTTTATGTGAGCTGAACTAAGTGGGATGGAGGCTTCTGAGACGTTAGTATTGCAGCTAATTGAGTAATAACTATCGTTTTCACTATATTCCAGGTAATTGACATTAAAACCTAGAATGGATAAGATCCTACCGTTTTGCGAGATGATCGCAAAACCAATAGTACATAACAAGCAGACAATATAAGTTCAAAAGTTGATGGGCAAACACACAGCAAAACGATAATCAGACTGTATGAACACGGAACACCACTATTAACTACACATTTAATATCGCAAGTAGAAAGCTGAAGCTCAACAGCAAGATTGATAAACATAGACCAGCCAAACAGATTGTATGGAACCATTACTTACCCACTCGCATCAGCAACTTCTCTAGAAATTTTCATCTTCTTGGTGGTACCCTTGTAAAGATCCTCAAGATTACAAGGCAAGTTCTGCTGTATGGGAGCCTCTTTCCTTGGAGCTGATTGATACATTGATGCGCCACCACCGCCTCCTCCTTCACCAAAGGATGCAAACATATCATCGCCAAACATACCACCAAACCTTGGTCCCCTACCTCCAGCACCTCCAAATGGACTTGAAAAGCCGAAAAATTCAGCAAATATGTCATCAGCACTTCTAGTATTAAATCTGAATGACTGGGGGCCTTCCCCAGTAGAGAAGAAGGGGGAACCACCACCCGGCCCACCTGCTCCTGGCGGTGGCACCCCACCCTTCAACCCGTCTTCACCATACTGGTCATACACAGCTCTTTTCTGGGAGTCGCTAAGCACCTAGTAACATTAATGCAGAAGAACATAAGTCATCAATTTAACACTCAACCGAATAACATCTAACAACACCAATCAAAGAGAATCTCCAATGATTAATTATTCGGAACAAATTCGCTGTCCTAGATACTTACTGCAAAAGAAAAGCAGGCACACAGGCACCTATTGGAAAGGAATTCAATTGAATCTGCTTTGTTGAAAAATTATAATGTGTAAACAGGGTAAAAATAATTTCCTTTTTGAATATCTATAGAATGATGAAACCCGAAACATAAGAGAAACTTCAAGTGTAGTGGGAAAGGGGGTTCAACTGACGAAAAGGTTTAACAATTTGTTTCGGGCTACTTCCTATTTGGGGAAAACGGTTTACTTTCACTAGTGATTTTTCAAACTTCTCTTCTAGCACCTTACAACTAAACAATATTCAAATTAGCCGAGTTTTTGTTTACCTCCCTAAAAAAATTACAACTTTTTGCTAGATTATGAATACTAAAAGTTCTAGGAGTTTTAATTTAGCAAATATGAATCAAAGATTAAGAACCTACTAAACCATAAAGGAAAAAGATTGAAACTCAAACACCTATAAAAGATTCTAATTTGCAGTGCCTTTCTAAAAAAATTAAACTTTTAGCAATACTAGAACCTTTAATCTAGCAACAAACGAATCAAAGATTGAGAACCCATTAAACTATTAAAGTAAAAAAGGTTGAAACTTTTTAAGTCAAATGCAAAGATTTAAGGGAAAACATTAACATACATCATAGGCTTCAGAGATCTGTTTGAACTTAGCTTCAGCGGCTTTCTTGTTATTGGGGTTCTTATCAGGATGCCATTTCATAGCAAGTTTTCTATAAGCTTTCTTCAAATCGTCATCTGTGGCGTTCTTATCTACACCCAATACTTTGTAATAATCCACCCCCATCTCCTCTACTTTTCTTTTCTTCACTTTGACCTATTTGATTTTTTCCTTCAATAAATACTGAACAAAAACGGATCTTTAAATGGTCAATGAGGTGAGATTGTGGTTTTTTTTTAAGAAGAAACAGAAATTGTTAGAAAGAGAAAGGGAAAGAGAAGAAACTAGTCCGGAAAAGAGCTACAAGAACCGACGAGTGTAGAAACCTGTAGAAGGTTCCAGAAGCAGCTCATAATTAGAACTAGGGTTGGCCGACTTTAGCCACGTCATTGAAAGTAATTAATACTTAATGAGTTTCTTTATTTATTAGTATACGGAATTTCAGTAGGCACTTAATAATATGAGGTTTTTTCATGATCAATATAGAATTTAATACATGTTGACTTGATTAATTCAGATTACATCGTGTGTCTCGTCTTATCTTATATATTGAAGGAAGTCTCTTTAATATAAGAGTTTTCTAGTTTTTTAAGGTTCGAATTCGGATTTGATAATATTAGTTGAATATGTACTTGAATGTAAAAAGAATATTATTTGAAATTAAATTTAAGAGCTTGAAAAAAATTAAATTCTTAGCTGGATAACAAATTTCAATAAACAGGCATTACACTTTTAAGAGGAAAATATCAACATTGAAGTGTCAAAGACTAGTGAGCTCAATATTATGGCTTTTTGTTCTTACTTGGATACTTAGATTATGTGATCATCTTAACGTCTACCTTTGGCAAATCGCATCATAACGAGTAATTGATTGTTTTTCATTACAATATAAATTATCAATGCTACTTTGATCAAATCATCAAGGCGAAGGTGCATAGTTCTATAGTTATAATTGGTTATTATTAAAAATGTAATTAAACAACGTTTGAATCACATTTGAGCCGACTAATCAGATTGGAATGAAGTATATTATCTTTTTTAAGATATTATGTTTAGTTTACTATTAAACGACCAAACTTTTCTCTACCTTAGTCTTAAATATGAATCATTCACCCTGTAAGTAGCCGCTCATTCAACCACTTAAAAATAAATAACCACGAGATATATAATATTAATATATGTATCATAATGTGTATAGCCATGCATAATTTATGTATACCAGCTAAAAGAGGTAAATAATGAATTAAGCCAGGCTATTTGTATAAAGAGCCTTACTATCAATGTCAACTATTTATTGGAATCTCTTTCCGATGGTAATTGAGTATATGGAGTATGACTTTTTTTTTTTTTTTTTGTGGTAATAGGGAGTTAATATTACAAAGAGGAATTTTTAGAAACCACTATAGTTAAGTAGTTATTAACTTGCTATAGCTACAATCTCCATATTTACTAGTCGAAGCTACAATTTAGTTGCTACCGTCTTGTATTTGATGTATTCGCGCGACTGTATTTATAAATACAATGAGTTAATTCGCCTAAAAATATGTATTACATCTACATTTATAAATGTGACGTAACGCCTAAAAAATAGGGATTACAACTATTTAATAACGGAAAGCGCAATAAATCAGCGTGTATCAATTCTTGTACACACTTTATTTGATTTGGATGTATTTGTTCTAATATATTTTACATTGTATTCAATTTCACTATATTGAATTCAGTTGTATTAAAGTGGTACTCCGAAGGCGTGAAGGGCAAGAACGGAGTGGGTATTTTGGTGGATAGGGAGCTCAGAGAGTCAGTGATAGAGGTTAAGCGGGTGGATGACAGATTGATGGCGATTAAGTTAGCAGTTGGAGGGATCACTCTGAATGTCATTAGCAAGTTTGGACGAAGAGGTTAAAAGCCGCTTTCTGGGAGGCGTTGGATGAGGTGGTGTGGGGTACTCTGCTTACGGAGAAATTATTTATAGGAGGGGATTTCAATGGTCATATTGGGTCGTCTGCTGGTGACTATGGCGAGGTGCACGATGGCTTCGGCTTTGGGGATAGGAACGGAGGAGGGATTTCGCTAGAGCTTTTGAGTTGGTGATTGTGAACTCTATTTTTCCGAAGAGGGAGGAGCATTTGATTAGAGTATGGTGGCTAAGACTCAGATTGATTATCTCCTCCTCGGGAGGTGTGATAAAGGGTTGTGCGAGGATTGTAAGGTGATCCCGAGTGAGAACCTCGCGACATAACATAGGCTCCTGGTGATGGACGTCGGTATCTTGATAAAGAGGAAGAAGTGGTTTGTATGGGGTCAACCGAGGATCAAGTGGGGAGTTTTGACTAAGGACAGCATGAGTTGGAGGGGCAGTTAACAGCTATGGGAGCCTGGAAGAGTGGTGGGGATGCTAACGTTATGTGGGCGGCGGCGACGGATTGTATAAGGGAGGTGGCGAGAAAGGAGTTAGGGGTATCGAAGGGCTACTCTAGCGGGCACCGAGATGACTGGTGGTGGAATGATGTGGTCCGAGGTAAAGTGGAAGCAAAGAAAGTGGCAAACCTTAAGTTAGTGGAGAGCACCGACGAGGAGCAGAGGAGAGCGAACAGAGAAAGATATAAGGAAGTTAGGAGGGAGGCGAAATTAGCGGTCACGGAGGCTAAGCCTGCTGCGTTTGGTCGGCTGTATGAGGAACCGGGGGCCAAAGGTAGGGACAAGAAGTTATTTCGGCTAGCCAGAGCGAGAGAGAGGAAGGCTCGTGACCTGGATCAAGTTAGGTGCATCAAAGACGATGAAGGTCGTGTATTGATAGAAAAGGCCCAGATTAAGCAAAGATGGCAGTCGTACTTTCATAAGCTTCTAAATGAAGAGGGGGACAGAAACATCGTGTTAGGGGAATTGGGGCACTCCGAGAGTCTCCAAGACTTTAGGTACTGCAGGCGTGTTAAGGTTGTGGAGGTCGTGGGAGCGATGCGTAAGATGAGTCGGGGCAAAGCGACTTGACCGGATGAGATCCCAATAGAATTTTGGAGGTATGTGGGTAGAGTAGGCTTGAAGTGGCTGACTGGGCTGTTTAATGTTATTTTCAGGACAAAGAGGATGCTAGATGAGTGAAGGTGGAGTACGATGATATCCAGAATTGTAACAACTATAGGGATATCAAGTTACTGAGTCATACCATGAAAGTTTGGGTGAGGGTGGTGGAAGGGAGGGTAAGGAGGGCGGTGTCTATATCAGAGAACTAGTTCGGGTTCATGCCGGATCGTTCTACTACGGAAGCTATGCACCTTATCAAGAGGTCGGTGGAACAGTACAGAGAAAGGAAAAGGGATTTGCACATGATGTTTATTGACCTAGAGAAGGCGTATGACAAGGTCCCTAGGGACGTTCTTTGGAGATGCCTGGAGGTAAAAAGTGCGCCGATAGCTTATATTAAGGCGATAAAAGATATTATTGATGGAGCTAAGACTCGGGTTAGGACTGTGGGAGGTGACTCAGAGCCTTTTCCGGTGGTTATGAAGTTACACCAAGGATCTGCGCTCAGTTCGTTCTTATTTGCCGTGGCGATGAACGAACTGACACACCATATTCAAGGGGAGGTGCCATGGTGTATGCTGTTCGCAGATAATATAATTTTGATTGATGAGACGCGAGGCGGCATTAACGAGAGACTGGAGGTATGGAGGCAAGCCTAGAAGTCTAAAGGTTATCAAGTTGAGTAGGACCAAGGTGGAATATTTGGAGTGTAAGTTCAGTGACGTGTCGGGAGAAGCGGGCGTGGAGTGAGGCTTGACTCACAAGTCATCCCTAGGAGAGAGAGAGTTTCAAGTACCTAGGGTAAATTATCCAGGGAGATTGACGGGAAGTCACGCACCGTATTGGGGTGGGGTTGATGAAATAGAGGTTAGCGTCTGGAGTCCTGTGTGACATGAATGTGCCACCAAAACTTAAAGGTAAGTTCTATAGACCAGTGGTTAGACCGTCCATGTTGTATGGGCTGAGTGTTGGCCATTCAAGATTTCATATATCCAGAAGATGAAAGTGGCAGAAATAAGGATGTTAAGATGGATGTGCAGACACACTAGGATAGATAAGATTAGGAATGAGGATATTCGGGAGAGGGTGGGCGTGGCTCCCTTGGATGACAAGATGCGGGAAGCGAGATTTAGATGGTTCGGGCATGTGCGGAAGAGGAGAAGGTGTGAGCGGATGGCTCTAGCATGTACGAGAAGAGGTAGAGGGCGGCCTAAGAAGTATTCGGGCGAGGTGATCAGGCAGGACATGGCGTAGCTTCAAATTTTCGAGGACATGGCCCTTGATAGGAAGGTGGAGGTCGAGCATTAAGGGTGTAGGTTAGGCGGTAGCCGAGCGTTTCTCCTTGTTGTGCCGGCTAGCTTGATAGTGTTTTGTCTTGGACTGCTAGACTTTTCTATTTTATTGGATTTCTATTTATTTGATGTCTTTTACGATGCTGATACCATTTTTCTGGTTTCTATTGTTGTTACAAATCTATTGTATCTGAGCTGAGGGTCTCCCCGAAACAGTCTCTCTATCCCTCCGGGGTAGGGGTAAGGTCTGCGTACACTCTACCCTCCCCAAACCCCACTAAGTGAGACTCAACTGGGTTGTTGTTGTTGTTTGTTGAATTCAGTTGTATTCAAACAACAAAAAATCAAGAAAATTTGTATACCGTTGTATTTAATTCAGATGTATACACTGTATTTAATTAACCCATATTCATTCTTAACTATTTTATATTGTATTCGGCTGTATTCAAACAACAAAAAATTCAAGAAACACAGGGATCTACCACCAAAAATAACCTTCGGAATACATAAATACAGGTGAAAAATAATATTTTGTACAAAATACAATGTATTCGAGTGTATTTGTATAGAATACAATGTATTTGTATCATTGTATGTGACTCAATAGCAAAGAAGAATATTTGTATCATTGTATTTGTATCTGTACTCATTAGCCATGGATCAATATCGAAAAGTTTCGGATCTATTCCCTTTACTGAGCTACCAGAGCTAGATGTAAATTCATCTGTGGCGGAAAATTTCGGATCTATTTTCTCCGAAGTGCCGGAGGTGTGATGGAGATGGTACACTCCCGATGGTGGAAGCTAAGAGGGAGTAGGAGAACAGATCTGGCCATGGCTACAGATTGAGCTTTTGAAAATCTGAAGCAGAGTCGCCAGAAATCTGAACAGATCTGGCTGTGGCGGTGAGTCGCCGGAGAAGACGGCGGCCTTGTCAAAGAGAGAGTGAAAAGGGAGAGAGAATTGAGGGAGAAGAGAGAGGATTGATGGAAAAGTTGAGGGATAAGTTGTATATATTTGTACATTGCTATAAAATATACAAAGTGCTATAAA